CTAGTAGCTACCTCTATTAGATCTAGTAAGGTAGTGTCAGGCATGTTTGCTTCATTCACATGGCTGTGAGCCATGTTATTAAGCAAACCTTGCTCATAATCAGATTTTAAAATATTCTGTATTATTGCCTCCCTTGGGTGTGCATATGCTCTGCATAACCTATTTCTTAACTCCTGTAGTTTATGCCCAAATACCCTGACTGGTTTTTCTCTTTGCTGGTAACAATTATGTATTTGTGTTCGGTGTTTCTCGTTTTCTATATTCTTTCACTAACCTTTGTACTAGATACTGAAAATCTGTGGTTTCACACAGTTCATTATAATCCCTAATGTAATGCTTTGATTCTCCTCTTGTTCTCAGTCTCAAAATATCTGCTCTCTGGGCATCAGTCCAACCTGAAATTCTAGCAGCTTCAGTTAAAGCATCTATAAAACCCTTGACATCCTCGTTGAGCCTACTGTGAAACAACGGTATTGTGTCCATTAAGTGTGTAACATCACGTCGACCCACTTGTACAGTTGATCTGTGGCAGCTTCAAAATTTACTTCAGCCCTTCTGTCAACTGTAGGGTATGCACCACCTTCTTCTGTAGTAGTATCTATGTCAGCCCTAGCCATTTTCACTTACTTACTACTTACGTTCTATTCAAACTACTTATAGTACTTGAAACTGGCTTGCTTACTCCTACTCTTTCTTTACTCTAACTAACCTGTCATTAGTTACTCCAAAAATCGTGTCGACTTCTCGAACCTTCGTGAATTATCGGGAGACTTCTAGATGGGGGGTAGTCTGGTATATATAAGATGGTCACAACGTGACGGGACATTGTGTAATTGAACTGAGTATTGTCGAGCACGAGCACGTGAGACGTTCTAGCGTTTGTTATAGAGCGACTGTTGAAATTAAGTGTATCGGTAAAGTTGCATTCGGAAAGAATAAACCAGTTTTATTTAAGAAAGGACTTGTGTCGCTAAAGTTTCGTGGGAATGAATTTACGGAAAATTAATTAACGAACGAACGGAGACGTAACAATATATATCGCCCAGCTGAGGCCTAGAACTTTCTACAAACTACAAGACGCTATGATGTAACAATACTCACTTAAAGCAACGAGAAAAATACAGAAGGTTCAAGTAACGTGACATTAATTCATAAACAGTTATGTAAGCAATTTTGCCATAACTATTACATCTAAAAATAACATACTTTAACCTCGTATATTCTCGTATTAAACTTAAAATGAACCCTCGTGTATATCTAACAATAAGCCCCTCTTCAATAAAAATATTTAAATATTTTTACACTATATACAATGACTTTTTCAGTTCATGCACAAAGTCTACTCATACAGTCTGCATCAACATTTGCAGTCCCCTTGATGGCTACAATGCGGAACCTGCAGTTCTGGAGGTACAATGCCCACCTCATGACCCTTGCACTGTTGATTTTACACCTCTGAATGTACGCAATGGTTGTTGGTCCATCTGGAAGATGAACTCCTTCCCGTATAAGTATGTTACATATCTGCTTGTTTGTTGATTTCCAGTAGAAATTATTTCCGAGGAACTTCAGTGATACAA